TGTCTCGCAATGAAGCCACCCGTCGACCTGGCTGAGATGACCACGGACAGCTCCACGACCCCTGACCCCGCGAGGACCGTAATGAGACGGACAGGAAAGGGGATAATCAAAGAGACAGCATGAGGCGACTGGTGGTCAAGAGGAGGAGGAGGAGGAGGAGGAGGGGAGGGAAAGAGGAGGCCAGGGGGTAAACGATGGAGGACTGGTGGGCAGAGGGGCTAACGGCTCCGATGCTCCAGAGAAATGAGGTGTGGAGATGTGTTCAGGGACTGATTCTCACTGGAGACCCCCATCACAAACACTCTGATATTAGCGTCCACACATGGCAAACAGCTGCTGCAGCATCATTTTATCACACGCGTGTTAAAATACACCACAAACCATCACTTAGAGCATCAAACACTAACACAAATCAGTTTGACATTAAAGTAAACTTTGGTTATTTCAGCAACAATTAGATTTGTACAATATAGGATTCATGATTTTAACAGTATACTTCCATTACTTTTTCACCAAGTTGTAATAGTAAAACACTGGCTGTGCAAAATTGTGTAAAATAAATAGAATCTCCGACCATTAAAAAATTAATTGGCTAAATTACATTCAGCAAAATATTCAAACTTAATAATATATCATTTGAATAGTTGCCATGGTAATTGACGTCCAAATCTATATGCATTACCACAGAAATCCCAATAGCCCATGAAATTAGAAGGCAATTCAATATTATTCATTACACGTCACCATCAATTATTATTATTATTATTATTCTCAGACAAGGACGTTTTTAATGTCAGTCGCAGCTCTCGACTGAAGTGAGATTTAAGTGATATGATCCATTTCTGAAATGATCTATTTTGTATTGTTTTACTAAATGTTTTGCCACAATAAATAATATTCCAGTTTCTGTTTCTGCTCTTTGATTGAGTGACAGTTTCCAGAACATTACATGCATCAGAAGGATTATAAAGTAAATGAGAGTAAATGAAGTGAAGGAGAGAAACGCTGTGAGCTTATACTGTCGCTTACTCTGGTCAAACATGGGCGGGTTGTCGTTGACGTCGCTCAGCGTGATGTTGACCGTGGTGGTGCCGGCGAGCCCCCCCAGCTGGCCGCCCATGTCCTTAGCCTGGATGACCACGGTGTAGTGTTCTCTGGTCTCCCGGTCCATGTCTGCCAGGGACACGCGGACCACGCCTGAGGAGAAAACACCGAGAGACAAAGACAAGGAGAGACACGGGAGGTGAATTAAAGGTCGGCGGCAGAGAACCGGTGACACAGATTAGGATCATGTGTCCAAGCGATGTTTTCCTGGAATGTCGACGCTCTCCATGGGCCAAGAAGCTGCACAAGGATTTTTATAGAGTAACTTCTTTCCAGAAATGATTTTGTTTCTTATAAAGAGCTTTGAAGCTGCACGAGTGAATAAAAAATATGGTCATTCCTGTTGGTCAAAGCCAAGAAAGGGAATCAAACCACTGACCCCCCCGATGACTGTTCAAGCCCAATTTCCCTTAAGGGGTTTTCTGCAGGTAAAACCTCGGTCACACTGACTTCTAAGCAAGTTTCCACCCGAGTGTGCATAATGAAGATTTAAGATAGGGAAGGAATTGCTTTGACAGCAGCGAGGCAGGATAAAAAGGAGGGATCAATACTTGTGGCGGTGCATCCTTGCATCCAAAACAAGTAAATCCAAACTTCCACTGAAGGTAAGTCCAGGGTTGGACGTTCAGACGCACTTGTTTGATTCAGTTCACTGTGACTGCACCGGCAGAGTATGATCAACAAAGACGTCCATACACGCCGCAGAACCCGACCGAGGTCAAGTGATGTTTCAAGAAATGAAATAAATACACTTAACATGTCTGCGGACTTGGAGCTACAGGGTTCAACACGGACACAAGCCGGACTGTTGTGCTTCTCAGTGCGGGCGTCTGATTGACGGCTGCAGAGCCGCTGGTGTTTCAGTGATGGATGAACCTACAGCAGCAGCCTGACTGGCAGCTGATGGGCGGTGCAGCCCGAGAGGGCAACAGATTCCACGGCTGACAAACAAGGAGCTGAGGCAGCTGTGGTAAACAATGGCCAGTGACTTTCTGCGTTTAGCAAACTAATGGGTTTTCTGGTTGTGGAGGCTCAAGTCGACAAAGCTGTTACCATGTCCTGCAATGTGGCAGTTGGGTATTAAAGCTTAAGGAGTTTTAGCTGCGTGTTCACGGGAATTTATGGCCCGAAAAATATCTACGGTCATTATTGTGCACCAGTTGTATGACCAGGCTGCGGGTTTGTTCCCATTCAGCCGCGAAAACATTTAATAATGAGGTGACACAGGCTGAAAAAGCTGAAGGCACAGTCCGTGTTCCAGCTCATCCAGATGATGCTGAAATATTGTGCACGGGGACATTGTCAAGAAATGGAAGGGACACACAAGCTGATGCCACACACATGGAAGCACAGTTGAAAATATAATTACGGGCTTCAACGTTGACAATTTGACAGTTTTTCTGCAAAAGACGGACAATTCCAGACCAAAGTCACACCAAGCTGAGAGTCAATATGTGTGTGGGGAGAGTCTGAACCAAGCCTGTGTCACAGTTTCATTTAGGGAGCGCACTAAAGAAGTTTGTCCGACACATACACCCTGCTCAGTAATTCCTCGATTAGACCAGATGTACGTTACTGTTGAGACCAATGCGACTGTTTTTAGCATCTTTTGATAAAATTCCTGCTTTGTCCTGTTTCAATATTTAAATTACCCGTTGAGGTACATTTTTGGAAATATTCTTATTTGCCTTCGACCTTCTCATGTAGATTTAAAGCCACGTATCAAAAATCAAATCTAATTAATTGAGAATATCACGTAAAATTAACCTTAACTGATTTTCACAAAGACATAAAGTCAACGCTGCCTGAGAATTCATGTAATTTTTAGCAAACAGACTAAAAGTAGCTTCTCTCAAAGTTTCTCCAACAGCTCGATCACTTCAGGACGAGGGGGCTGCTGGTTAGATTCTTTCCCCGCTTTCAACACACAACTCGCACTTTGAGTTTATTTTGTCTCAGACTCTGTGCAGTTGCAGGAGCTGGAGATTCTGCAAGTTGCAACAGCACTTGTGTGTTTCAGACGAGTGTTTGGTCGTCTCATGGCAACAACAGGAGCCGTGCTGAGATTCCCACATTCAGAGGCGACACAGAGGCTTCGTGAGTGGACGCCTGAAATCAGACCGTGGTGCAGTTACGGTGAAAAACAAGGCGGGTCATTAACAGTAGCTGTCGGACGAACGTCAGTGGTAATTTGTCGACTTTATCACAAAGTAGTGTCTGAAGACTGAAATCCATCAGACTCGGTGGATAAAAACGCTGGTTTCCCTGGTTACGGTTGTGAAGCATCTGTGCAGTCGTACCAGTCTTGGCATCCACTGAGAAGTAGGGCTGCCCCTCCAGGATGCTGTAGACCACACGAGCGCTGTTGCCATACGTGGGATCGTCTGCATCTGTGGCCGTCAGCTGGATCACAGATGTTCCTGGGTACAAACAGAGGGAAAGGTTAGGGGGAAGGGAAAACTGGATTCAGAGGAGAAAGGAAGCTGGCGATCAGCTTCGCCAATATTAACATATTAATGAAAGAAATAACTTTGGGTCGAGTTTTTCCATCTGTGGCTGGAGCAGCTCCAGGAATTAACTGTGCTTATTCACTTCAAAGTGAACACACGAGTATGTTTATGAACGCTGGTGGATGAGGCAGATGTAGACAAGCCTGTGAGAGCGAGTGGCTGTGATTACTCTGCAGGGTTATTATGCATTTTGCTGTTGTTTAATCGTGGCCGAGAAAACTTCCAGCAGCTGCCGCAAACACCACAAACACGCACAACGGTTCATGTATCCATCTGTCTACCTATTTTGGACATCTCCGGCACGTTGGCCTGGTAGGGTCCGTCCAGGAACCTCGGCTCGTTGTCGTTGATGTCCTGGATCTTGACGATGAACTCGGACTCCGGCTCCAGAGGCCTGTCCGTCAGGCGGCTGCGGGCCTGGGCGCGGAGGATGTACTGGGCCTTCACCTCGCGATCCAGCCTCTGGATGGCGTGGATGTCTCCTGTGCTGTCGTCGATGGTGAAGGTAGTGCCGGCACCCTCGCCCGTCAGGATGTACTTAATGGAGCCGTCGCCTTTATCCATATCTGAGTGAAGCTGCAGAGACATTGGGAGTCAGTGAACAACAAAGTACAAGTTTACTGGAGGGTTTCTGAAGTAGCGTGGGGACAAGGTTCCCATATGGTCCTGATTTAAACGTCTTGTCAAATAACTGGAAGAGGATCAGTCCCAAAAATCATGAGCATTTCTCAAACACGGATAAAACCGCATCAATAAAATGTGGTCACAAGTTGAAGCTGAAAGGAATCTGGCCGACATATGGTGCGGTTGGGACAGTGGCCGTTTTTTGAGGATGACTAATTGGGTCATGATCCCCCCAGTTTTAGAATAGAGATTGAGGAGAAAGCCTTTATCGTCACTGCACAAGAGAAGGCAACGAAATGAGACACAACCAATAAATACAGGACTAAAAAATAGTTTCTCCTATTGCAACAGTCCTTACGTGATGATATTGTTACCACCGTCCATCCTAATTGTAAATTAAGGGGTGCTGTGTGGTTGTACGCACACCTTTTAATACTGTAGTTCTCTAGTAGGTCTCTAATCACAGCTCGCGGCCTGTTTGTTGCCATGGGCCTCTGCAGTGCAATCACAAGTCTTTTGTGGCAAATGCCAGACTGTTGATGTGCAATCACGCTTCACTTTGTAGTTAGAGGGTCTCGGCTTACGAGTGCTCGCACTGCCATCGCGCTGGAATTAGAATTAAATGCCCCCATTGATGTGCTTCGTATAATCAACAGGCGAGCACACAACACAGCACTCTTCCTGCTGACTCTTCTGGGGTCATTTCATGAAACCACCACGCCGAGGTTGTCAAACTGCCAAAAGTTTGCAGCAACAGCGCTCGTTGTTATTCTGGTGATAGGTCGGCAGCAATCTTCACAATACCTATCATTCCCCCGGCAGCAGACAATGCAGCTTTCCCTATCTCTCCGGACAACGTGCCCACCTGCACTTTCCCCGGCAAAGCCCCGTGTAGCCCGGCTCGGCCCAGAATAGATTTTTTAATCAACACCCCATTGTGGGCCTCAGCCCCGCGTCTCGTGGTGATATATCTCAGGCCGGTGCCTTTCCTTCGCCTCATCCGCCTTTTCCTGCACTGATCCCTCCTTTCCACCCAGGCCTATGAAAGGAGGGGGTTTGACACTCGGGCTATCAATTACCTGCTCCATCTCCAGCCCCGGCCTAAAGCCCAAGCACTCCGACATCCCAACGCCTCTGAATACTAAGTTACTCAACAGAGGAGAGGCGAGGTAGGTTGAGTTGATGATAAAAACCCTGAGGGGGGGAGGCTACATTACATCTTTCTCCTGCTCTGTCATATCCAACAATGCCTTCCTGCCTTGAGTGGTTCTCTGGGTAGTAGCCCAGCCTGTCAGAATCACTTATTTCATTCAGCTTAGGAAAGATTAGGGCGTGCGACATGAAGAGAATCAGTGAAGAAATGCTAAATGGCGGAGAAGAATGGGACGGTGGTGAACACTGTACATGCAGCAGCGACTGGGAGGAATTTTTCACTCCACATAAGCAGATGCGGAACTTTTTCTACGGCATCGGCGGGTTCTCTCTCAGGACTTGTTACTCCTCCACCCGGTCGGGCCACGTGACTCCAACATTTGCCTTGGTATTCCTGAGCGGTGGTGGTAAAATTATTCCAGAACACTAATTAGGCAGGTTTGCATCATTCCCAGAGGGATGTTTCAGAGGATGAGTGGTTAGTACTGCGTTGTTTAAAAAAAAAAAAAAAAAGCTGATGAGGAGTTCTGGCAAATTCAATCAAAGGTCTGAAATCTAGTTTTTACAGTTTTAAGATCAGGGGAGCTTTTGTTTTCGCAGGAATTTGGTGAAATAAGGCATTTTAATAGCTCTTCACACGGAGTCTGACATCATCCACTCATTCATCTGATTTATTAAGTTTGGTGCCTTTTCTGTTCGGAGCCAGGTAACAGGTAGAGTAAACACGGGGATTCACAGTGTTTGAGCTACGACTATCTAAAAGGGTTTCAAATAGCTTCATTGGTATTTTACTCTAAATGTTAAGGGACAAAGTGTGCTACGAAAAATGTATTATATCAGACTTATATCAAGTACACCAAAGAAATCTGAATTAAAACCGTGGATCAACTTAACAGCTACATCATTTTATCTATGTATTCACTGAAATAGTGAATCAAGCGTCCTCTCGTTGATTATGAAAATAAATGTCACATATCGTTATGAAGATTAAAACCAAACGAGCGACACATGTTTATCTGCTAATGTCAACATTTCACATTTCAAGTGGCTCTGACTCAAACGACGTCTGTCACGACAAGCTCTTCCAAGAAAAAGCGCTTAATGGCAATTTTCATTTGGGTTTGCAAGATTGTTGTCTCTCAACCGATGATGACTGGCCTTACAACTATTGATCAAATGTTCAATTCACTTTAGCGACTGATCGATCAAAGTGCTCCTTTGTGAGCATCCGTCGTCTGCTCTTTTCAGAGCGTGTCCGCTGTGTTGCAGACGTGTGTCGAGCACTTCTGTGGAGCGCAGCCAACTGAGCGAAGCCTCGGTTCGAGTCAATTAACTCAATCACTGCTGTCTGGCTGCGGCTCAAAGGGACAGAAGTACAGAAGTGTATCCCGGGATTAAATTGAGGTTTTTTTTTTCCTTTTCTGCAGTGGATGAGCCTGCGCCTGCCCGAGATCTTCTCTTTTGCATTCGGAGGTAGTCTCTGCAACACCGAGGCAGCTCTGACATCAGGTGTAGCACACGGAAAGGTCATGCAGGAAACTGAAACACATTTCTTCATGCGTGCGCATGTGTGCTTGTTCATACAGTCGTCAGTACTGACCTTGCCGATGTAAAGCGGTTCCAGTCCAGTGTACTCCTCCAGGACGAAGAACTGGTTCCACACCCATCCTCGTTTGACCCTCTGGAGCAGCGCGGAGCTGCCTGCGTTGTCCTCCTCTGCGGGCTCACCCAGAAGGCTGTGAGGCAGAAGTGTCAAAACGCACAGGGCCACGGGGAGCAAAGTCCTGGCAACTGCCGGAAGATGCAATAGGCGTCCCATTGTGAAGCACAGAGTCGTATCTGAAAAGACTTTTTCCTCTTTCTTCGAGAGGGCACTCGTTTCCTGGCTCCCTTATTTCTGCTCGCTGTCCTGGAAAAGAGAAGAAAAAGACTAAGTTAGAGATTTATGTCCTTCTGGACAGCGACATAGAGTCGTATAGTTGCAGGGATGACCCACATGTGCTGTCTTTTCTTCTGCCATTCTGAGTTTTTGTTGAGTTGTAATGAAGTGTGTGTGTGTGTGGGTCAGTGTGTGTGTCTTCTCGCAGCTGAATGATGCTGTCGAAGACGTCACATGGAAGAGGAGATGTTGAAAAAGAGACATCTGAACCGTTTAGAATTTTCTAAACGTCCGTTTCATCACGTTTGTAAAAAGTTTCAACACATTCATCTTTAGAGATGTTGTGAAGCTTTGTTTTTTAACCTGCTTCCAGTCACTAAGAATCTGCAACACAAAAACTAAATGAGCACCTTTAGTTCCCCAAATGTTTACAGCTTCTCCTCACAACCTCTTGAATATATTCATGTAAGGGTAGTCGATATAAAGCCGGCACCAATCCACATTTCTTTTTGCTCAAACCCAAGAAACTTGGTAAAAACTTTTAATGGAAAGCTACGTCACTTTGTCTGAAGCCTGGAGCTGAACTCTAACCATCAGCCTCAGATGCTTTCACTTTGCTCCAACTCCACAAAACCAGGTATTTTGACATCCTGGAGGAAAAAGAAAATCGTTTCCCTTCCTTCTTCCTCTTCCTGTCATGAGGAGAGGTGAGCTCCTTCACACCTCCTGCAAAAGGCCCGGGGGTGCGATGTTCTGAGATTGTTGTGTTTCTGTTCACACACTGTGCAGCTTTACTCACACCAGGTTCTACAAGTTCCCTTCAGCGCTGCACACTGCTCATTACAAGTGAAGTTTTTCTTCCATATCTCAGGTTTGACGGCCCCTATGGTACTGGGTATCGCCTGGATGCAGAATTGAATGCCTCTAAATACCGTCTCCCTCTGCATTGCTCTTTTTGATTCAGACATCATGGGAATCTATAAGATCAGCGAGGTCAACTTGGTGAATTTCTTGCAGGAGATGCTTTTTAAGGATACGCATCGACTTTGGGTAATCGATACCTTTTCACATGCAGCACATGGCACCTACGCTGCCTCTTTCTATCTGCATCTTGTTTTTATGTATTAGGAGGACGGCCGCATTTGCCCGTTCTCTTCCTGCATTAACGAGCTCGGGGAGAAAAATAGGCAGATTTATGGTCAAAAGGCAGCGAGTAAAGCCAAGAGTGACGGGGGAGGGAGGGGGGGGGGAGTTAACACAGAGGCTGTTAGCAGCGGGAAATGAAAAGTTTGAGCCCGAAGAGTAAAAAAAAAACAGAGCGACTGTTTGACTCATGGTTTGACTCCATTATGTTTTGTAAGAGAGAGTGCATTGTGCTGCTGTAGACTCTCTGAAAACCCAAACTCAGTTAATCATTGTTGAAGAGGCACAAAAGGCCGGGGAAGGTGGGGGGCGTGGCTGCATTGTCAGCAGGAGGCCGGGCCGAGTGTGTTTAGTGTGTGTGTGTGTGTGTGTTTAGTGTGTGCATCTGTGTGTGTTGTGGTCCCACAGAGGCAAACCCTGCGAGGGCCGCTTGGCAGGATGGCTGACACTTGACCTCGCTGCTCCCGTCCTTTCTGTCTATTCACGCCGCCTGCTCGCCATTATGAAGTAAAATTAGCTCCTTGTTCTTTGCTCACAAGCTCCCGGGCCTCCCCTCTCAGCTCCGCCCCTCGAAAGGTCACAGCTTGCACCCGAGCATTTTGCTCCATTTTGTCGTGCTTAATGAGGTGACATGCCACGTAATTGTGCTGGCAAAACATTTCACACATCTTTCTCCTGCTAATCTTATGGCATTTCACTTGTTAAAAGGAAAAGCAGCTGGCGTTTGCCACACAGGCGGGATGGAGGGGATGGGATGATGAAGGGATGAGGAGCGAGGCGGAGGGTAGACGAGCAATCATATGAAAAAGCTTTGCCAGACTTAAGGCGAGGAGGTATTTTCCCACTGGGCTGGAACATTCTTCCCAGATGAAAATCTGTCTTTGTATTCACAGAGAAAATAACACAATTTAAAATCGGTATTTTGAAAAACAAAGGGTTTTTTTGTTTGTTTTTGAAAAGCCGAACCTTGGAGGAAATGTGTTGGCAGAGAGTGAGGAAGAAATTGAGTGACGGGGAAGGAGACGGTGATTGTCAGGGGGGGAGCAGCTGTTACGACAAAATGATGGGCCATATTGTTATATCATGTTACTCCGAGTCCACCTGCTGCTCCATTTAACTGGGATCTGACAACAGACTTTATCAAACTGCTTCTGCATGAGAGAGACGGATGTTTCCTTCCAACAGAGGAAAACAAACTGCAGGACGGCTGACCGAGCGCCACCGGGCCGAGTCCGAATATATCATCAACTGCACCCGTTCAAATGTATCAGACACCCAAAGAACATAAAAAAACATAAAAGGAACTCGGTACATTCGACTATAATACTTTTTCAAACTTGTATATTTGTATGGTACAGTCTGAAATGTAGGAAACTTGGACAAAAAGTTTAGTTGAGTTTGAATGCAATTAACAATTATGCATTTGAGAAGCAAAAGGACATATCACATGAATGATTGGTTTGGAGCCAGAAGAGAAATAAGTGCAACTTGTTGTGAACTCTAAACATTAGCTCATTTTGACTTGTTGAATATCAAGGTTGGCTGCTGATGAGATGGTAAATTCAAACCTTTCAGATTTCGGCTGCTGAAGTCACCTTGGCCTTAATGAAATTGCAATTGCAATAAAACATTTCCGTTGGTTTTATAGAGCTAACGATTGAAAGGTTGATTGTTTAATCAGGAAAATAAGCATTAGTTCCTTCATGGTGATCAGGAGCCTCACCCAGACCAAACTCCCATTTTCTGAGCGAGGTCACCAGGGGCCAGCTCAGTGTGTGGTACATTAGTACGGGTCGGCCCTGTTTAAGTGCTATGTGGAGCATTATTAAGTGTTAATTTCACAGTGGCCATGTCTATGCTCCGCTCACCTCAGCTCTAAAAAGAGGCCTCCCAGACTGTGGAAAAGGTCCTTTTAAAAACTGGGTGGACCCGTGAAAAAGTGAACCACCCACCCCGGCAGTGCAAAACGTCACGGCCAATTTGTTAACCACAATTGATTTTGCATGGTGGAAGGCGAAGCCACGGCAGAGGCTCTGGATATCTCGGGCCCGGGCGATGGGGCCGTAATAGATGCACTTTTTCTTAAGAAGCAGAAGCCGCGGTTTGAGAAAACAGCTTTCAATAAGTCGAGCACAATAAAGTGAGCGGGGACTCTTGCAAAATGTAGAAGGGTTTTCTTAAACACAGAAAGTAGTTTCACTTTCTGAAGAGAGGGCTGAGGGTGACGAGCTGCATTCCTCGACGCAGCGTGGATTTAAAAAAATGTCTGAATGCTAATGTTTATTTACATAATTAAATTCAGACTCTGCTGCTACACTAACTTTTAATAAACAAGCCGACCCAGCAGAATGGCTGCCGGTGTGTGTGTGTATGCAGGCTGAATGAAATGACCAGGTCTGCTTTCTAAAAGCAAAGGGTCTGTATACTATCATCGCCTGCAGCAAGGACCCAGTTTCCTCAGCCGGCTCACAGGGAGAGATGGCAGCCTTCAAAGTCGGAGCCGGGCAGAGGGAGGTGTGTATTCTAGCTGAACTCTCTCAAGATCACACAGTTGTTTGTGCATGGGTATGAATATGAGTTCTCTGTGGATGCACTGTATGCCCGCGTGTGAGTCAGGCTGCTACCCTCTACTCGTCCTCACTCCTCTAACCCCGCCGCCCCCAGGACATGGCGCTGGCATGGGGCAAGTCTTTGAACCTGCCTTTGCCGTGCTCTCTAATTGTGGGAAGCTCCCCCGGCCTCGATCTGTGCAGCTGTGCGCGCCGCCACCGCTGCGCCGTGACGAGCGACTCCCTCCCTGTGGCTCGTTTAGCCACTGTAAGGTGCTTTTAATTACTCCCCTCTCTAGATGCCTTTGTGTGCCGACTGAGCTTCTGAAGTTTCTGCTATTTCTGCAACCGACAATAACGCAGACAGAAACATTTATTAATCTATTTCTCATTTCATCCCTCCTCCACTTCTTGTCTTTTTCATCCTGCGCTACATCTGTGTTGTTGTGTCATTTGAAGGTAATTTTAGTTTTCCCTCAGTCTTTTCTCTTCTCCTCTCCTCCCCTCCCCAGTGCACATTTAGTTCATTCATTGCTTGGTGGAGCCATAAAAGGAGCCTTGTCATTTATGGAGAAATTAAATCACACAAACTGGCATTCATCCCAGGCACTGGTGCATGGAAATGATGTCACCATGCATAAACGTCACCCGGAAAAATGTGCAATCAGTGTTACTCTGTTGCAAATTAAATGGTGGCGTCTTGAGGACAGATCCTTTCAAATTAATATTGAACTCATGATCTCTTTTGAAATCTGGGAGTTTTGTTCTGTGGAGAATCTCCTGAACAGTTTTCATTCACCACGTGGCTGCAGCTCCTCTGCATCAGACCACTTCCTGTGTCGGGGTATGAGATTAACTCAGGATCCTTCACCTCCTCTTGTTGACACTGACGATGACAAGAAAAACCCTTAAAGGGTGCACACGCCAATCGTGAGTCTTCCAGGTGATGGATTCATATTTTTCTCTATGAAAGCCATTAAGCTGTCTTCAGCCTGAGAAACCTTGAGTGTGAGAGAGGAGGTCTGAATGCCAAACAGAAGTCCGTAAAAAGCAGAGAGGCATTCCTCTCCTTCAGCATGACTTGTTTGAAGTAACGACAGTGCAGACGTGCTGAGAATTGGAGCCACGCTTTGAACCTATGCTCGTGTTCGTAAAAGTTTTTTAATGTGCCACCAAATCCCCCCCACCTCCCGTCTGAGGCGAGGCTCTCTGAATAGTCACTGCGACCTAGTTTTTGACAGCCAGAAAAACAATATATATATATATTGCTTTCTGCAAACATTGTTTAACAATTAACACACACACACACAGAAAGAAATGGTCGCTCAGGTGCAGAGGTGATACAGAGCTCCCACATCTTGTTTTTAATCTCTGAACTCTTCATCTCCACCGAGTTTACAGCTGACAAATCCCCAAATCCTCCTTAAATCAGCTGCACCGTTCCCTGTTTACAGCCTGAAAGTATTAATCTCACCGCTGTGTTTCAAAACATGACCGCAGTAAGTCAAGGATTATTATTTTTTTCCACCTTACCTTATTCCTTTTCAACTCTTCTCCTTTCTCAGTCCTTCCTCTGTGAAAAAGTCTTTGTTTTTCTTCTTATCTCTTTGTTCTTCTTTTCCCTGCACGCTTGCTAAATTTCCCTTTTAAAAGTTGTGAGAGCTACTGCCTGCAGTGCATCAGCTTCCCTAAAGTCACCTTGAGTCCACGGTGTGTCTCCCTCTCTCTCTCTGTCCTCTTTGTAAAGTTTCTCCTCTCTCCATCTATCTCAGTATAAATATATACATCTTCTCTATATATACATGTCTTCTCTGGCTGCCTCTGTTCAGTCACTGCTGTGTTCTGCTTCTCATAACTCGTCTGCACACTCTCATGCCTCGTGTTGCCCTTCTGGGGACCCAATCAGACTAAAGGACCAATTGTCCCTCTCTTAACAATCAGTGGGACAGCCCCCCCCCAGGCTCTAGTGTAATCCAGCAATCTGCAACCTCCGGCATGGGAAGGAGCAGTGGACGGAGAAGAGGAGGAGGAGAAGGAGGAGGGAGGAAGAGTCATAGGGGAGTAGATTGACAGCAGGATGGGGTGAAATTGTAGTGGGGGCTGGGGGCAGTGAAATCAGGAATGGAAGGCATGGAGGAATGAGAAGTCGGAGACATGAGGTGGTAGAGATAGTGAGCATGGGAGGAAAATGCTCCTGCACAAACCACAAAGGCAACTCATTTCATGTCGAGGTATTTGCAATTGAATAAAGTGACCAGCAAGGTGGGGGGAGAACTCGGAGCGTGTGCAGAGATTGCCAGGGGGGGGGTGCAGGGTCCTTGGATCGCTGGACCAGTGAAGAAGAAAACGCAAAAGAGGACGGGGAAGAGAAGAAAATCCACCTTCCCTCTCATGCCGGCGAAGTTGCCCTAATGCATTTTAATGAGCCGGTGTTGTACACCGCTGGATCTGTGGAGGGATTTATGGGCACAGAAGATGAAGCTTTAAAGTGTATTATATTCCACTGCTTGCCCAGTCAGAGTCAAAGCAATTAGTTTCCCAAATTGGCAAAAAGATTCTGAAAAATTAGGTGCCCGCCAATACACACAAAAAGCGCAACGATAGATTAGTCATGGTCACGGAGATCTGATCCCTGTTTAGCACGGAGCGAGAAAATAGCAGTTTCATTTAAGCAATCATGGAATTAATGCAGCAAAAAGAGGTTTTCAGAGTTGAGTCCTCAGGAGTCGAAGGACTGGGAAAATGAAATCATGTTGGAGATGTTCTCAACCATGTTTAAACAGAAATGAGAATATATTACAGTAACAAGAAGTGTTCTAGCCTGCTGCTCGGCTTCTCAGGATTTTTTCTTGCATCGTCTCAGCTGTTTCCATATTACATTTATAGTTGGAATAAAATGATGGAGCTGCAGATATGAGGTAGCAAAGTTTTGAAATTCTCCACTATTCATAGCCCAATGGGGCAAATTTGCTCTTTTTTCCCCACTCGACAGCCCTTTGACTCTCCTTAATCTTCCTGACAGAGTAATTTGGTGTGTTGTACGGCTCTAAAAATACAGATGAAGGCTGGTGTCACCCACCGAGCCAGATGGTCAAAAGGTTGTACTTCTCTATCGGTTCAATATGTTTTTTCTTTCTGCCTCTCTGTCCCTTTCAATATGTCTTCTTTCTCATTTGGCAGGTCATTCTTCTTCACCACTGGCCCACCCTCCCCTCGCCGCTGCCCTCCCCTCCGTCTTTGTCTCTTTGAAGACCTGACTGGTTAGCGCCCCAGCCAATCTGTCAGCGGATGCTTGACTGGACCCCCAGAAAAAAAAAAAGGCAGGGGCTCTTTCTTTGTTGGGGCGGGCCAGAGAGATGGTGGCATTCAGACCCATTGAACAGCCCCTTCCATCACTGTGGCAGGGCACAGGATAGTAATTGGCAGAACAAATTGAACCTATAGGGCTTATGGATGGGCCTCAGTCTGTTTTAAAAGTCTGTTATAGTGGTAGACGTCTGGAAAACAAGTCCCTTCGGGTCCCTTCACAAAGGCCCAGATCCGCCGTAGAAATAGATTGGATACAGTTATGTTCTGCATGTTGCCGGACTTTGGTTCAGCGGTAACATGTAGGATGTGACTCGGACACGGTGCTTTCACGGATCTGATCCAGTACGCCTACTCTTAAGGTTTAGGTTTGTAATGGCCATGTCTGGACTGTCACCTCAGGGTACCTTTAAGTCAGACTCGTGACAGCCTCATCAGGTCTTTCATTAGGAAGCAGATTTCATGGCTGTTGGAGTTGCGTATCCTCTCTGGACAAGGATCATCTCCATTACAACTTCATTAACCAGTCTCCCATTATTGTCGTGTTAATCCCTAACATTTACATTTCAGTCTGTTGGTATCAGTCGACACATGGGCAGAGTTACAGATGGGAAACATACAGACAAAGAATAAGTTAGTTGATTCTAAATGTTTTTAAATGTGCTGCACAAATAAAGTTGACTTGAATCTACATTACAAATTAAAAGATCATTTTTATAAAATGTTATTTTTGCTAATTTGTGCAACTCAACGACCCAGTATAAAAAAAACAAAACAAGTCAGTCACTATTCATTGCAATGGCTTGTGGGAGATGTGATTTTACAATCAACAAGTGAGTTCTGGGTAATGGTACATTCCTATGCTACTAGTTTCTAGTTAGTGTCGCGGTTTTTCTTGTTTTTACGAAAGACTCATTTTCTCAGAACTAGACTTCTATAGAATGTGACCTCTTTTAAAACGATTGGAGTCGCCCTCTGCTGGTTATTCGAGAGAATGCAGGTTTCAGGCACTTCAGTGTTGGCTTCACTATCTGGACCTGGAGTCTACATCCATTTTATTATGTTGCATGAGTTATAGAAACTAATTGAACAGTCCTGGGCGTGAAGTCATGACTCCATCTCTTTACGACCAATGCTAAGTTTCAAATGAAGCCCTCCTTATTGATAAGAACACCAACTTTTATCTTGTGTGTATCACTACCTGAGCTAACAGCCACTAATCAGAGGGCACATTTCACAGAACCTGGTACCAGAGAAAAAAGAGAATACTCAACTAAACAAACACTTAAAGTGAAATAAGTTTTTAATAGTGTGGTGCACCTGGCAATTAAAAGTAATGACAACCGATACTGTACGTGCACCAGACTTGATGAAAAGCACAGCCCAGGGATTAACCCAACTTGTCGACTCCCTTTCTTTACGCTCACTTATCGTGTTGCAGCCGTCAGATGGAATAACCTAAACAAATTCAGCCAGTCTCATTCAATGTATTACTTCGCTGCCACCACCACCAATAGGGGAAAGCATGAAAGGGGGCTAGGTTTCAGAAGAACGAGATGAGAGAGAGCGCCAGAGAGAGGGAGCAAAGCCTCCATGTCATCTAAGATAAGACGAGCTGCTCTCTTCCCTTCTGCCCAAGATTAAAAATGGCATGGAGCAGAACAAGCCTGAGTACAAAGAGCTCTTCTGTGTCTTTGGGGGTGCGGTGCAGTCAAGCCTTTTCATGTCTGATTTTGGCTACAGGTCGAAACAAAGGGAAATTAGTGGAGGAAGTCCTCACGTCTTTGTTGGGGGAGATGCACGAGCGAGGATTTGTACACACGAGCCGAGTTCACAACTGAGGCAGTGACCTTTACAGTAATTGGTGGAAAATACAAAAAATAAGATGTTTGGCTTTAATTGTGAGACATCAGAATCAGCACCGGGTCGAAAGTGAACCGTGACATTAACTGCCTGTCTGGCATCATCTGGCTTCCTGCTCTGTGTCTTTCAAGATCCCCCCTTTTTTCCTGGTGACCTTTTCACCGTTTCCCCCTCTTGTGTCTGAGCTGCGCTACCTCGGCAGGGTATTGACTTTCACTCCGCTGTGTTAAACTTTGCCATCCATGTGTGGCTTGCTGCCGAGCCTCCGCTGTGACAAGAGGCGGCATTCAGTTTGGGATAAAAGGCTCCCCGGGCTGTTTGATGCGTATTCCAGCGGGGAGAGGCAGGGACTTGGCCTTGATGAGCTGACAGAAGCTGAGGAGACGTGGGGCCTCGGAGCAGCAGGACCACAAAACCCCAGGAACAGCGTGCCTTGCTCTGATATTTACCCCTCCCTGTTCTGTCACTCCCTATAACCCCTACTCTCTGCTCCGTCCCTGCGACCCTGTCACTGCCACTGAACCTGACATGAAAGACTAGAGTAACTTCTGAAGTAGAAATTAAGGGCGGCGGCGGGGGGGGGCACATACGTTGTGACTCATGTAAGAAACAAACACAAATGCACGCACAACATGAAATTCTTTAATTATGAATGTATTCTGTCTGCAATGTTATTCCTGCTAAATTATTTACATGGAGCCAACTAAAATGAGTGGGGAGAGAAGAAAGGAAAACATGTTTCTCCAAATGAAAAATAACGTCCCTTTCCAGAGAATTTTGACTCACTTAGTTGCAGCATCTGGGAAGTTTTTTTTTTTTTTTAAACGTGAGCACAAAAAACTGAACTTAATTAACCTAAACTAATCTAACGCACACTTTATCTTTGGTTCAAAAGGGCTCATGCCCTGGTAGAAGGAGCACGCGTCTCGTATCAGCAGGTTTTGACAGAGACTATCTCCCTACCCCCACTTCCCAGAGTCAATAGAATAACAAGTGTGCACGCTCCATTACACATTTGGTATGCGGGGGGTGTATGCACAGGGAGCCACGTCGAACCAGAAACAAACACACACAGGATAAATGTCTCTTTGATGATTTCTGTGTGTTTGTACTTCCACACTGATCCAGTGATCAGAGGAAGAAATAGTTCAGAGGGGGTTTAAACAACACCGACCGCCGCTCTCCCTCCACCTCCAAACAAACCTGGCTTATCACAACGGAAAAAACTGCTGCTTCCTTTCAAATCAACGTGGGTGAAAAGTTTCCTTTTCCTTCCACATAAACATTATACATCTAACAACAGCAGCAGGAGGAGACCAGGATTTATATTTTTTCCCATCATCTTCTTCTAAGAACTTGTCCAGTGCTGTAGATTAAGCTGCTGCCTAATCTTGGCCGACTGCTCGTGCATGGAAAAAATCAATTAGGAAAGTTATGCAGTTCTCCCTTAAACCTGGAGTCTTGCTCCCAAGGTCGATGACAACACTCACATTGTGCGAGGGAAGATGAGTTTTATTTTCTGTCACCTGGCAACTAAAAGCTTAAAAAGTACCCGTTCATCTCGGGAGGTTCTAGGTCCACAAAACCTTTGCTTTGCTGGTTTTATTCTTATAAACACACAATTAGTGGAGTCAGGGAGGCCAATGAACCCTTTTACCACAGACCATGACTTTCTGCTCCGTGCACACACAGTGATTAGTCTGAAGATTCCCCTGTG